TTTTAAATAAATTTATTCACTTGTTAATAAATAATAACATAATAAGTGCCATACTACGGGTGGAGTATGAGTCGTTTGCTGAGAGTGAGGAATATATTGGCATGAAGTTTGTTGCGAACAAGGAGAACGCTTACGGTATGCAAATGCCAACTTAGCTGGTATTAAACGAAAATCAACACAAAAGGATGAAAGAACTCAACACTCACTTCCGATAGAGTTTTCCGATTTGTATAAATACTTGAGTGAATTTTCTAAGAGCAAGACCTTCGTTAGTCAGATCTTACTGGAATTAGTTTACATTGCTAAAAGCCAGAGCGTCGGAATGTCGGGAGACGGCGACAATGTTGAATATCTTTTTTATTATGACTATACTAGAAGTGTTCTTAAGGTGGAACGGTAGCTAATTTGGAGTTTAGCTCTACCCAAACTAAGAAAACAATGCGGCTACCTCAAACAGTATGGTATAAAAAAAAATATACGTATAGGAGATGACACATATAAAAAAGAAGTATGTAGTTCACTGGCTTTTATAAATATTCCTTAGATTGCAGTTTTATTTACGTACGTTGTTTATATAGTACGGTGTATTGAACGAATGCTGTCACTAACCATTGTCCCGGCAGGCAATTTCTTCGAATCATGTTCAGTAGCGCCTTCTCTCTCACAACTTTCGTAGATTGTTTGCGTTACTTTTGCGCCGTTCTGTATTAATACCGGTACGGTTCTTTGCACGGTCTTATTGTATGCAAAAAACCGAGTTGATCACTTGCACGGGGATCCAGCAAGCGATTGACGCCGACATAAAACGTTGAAGGTTTAGAAATGGTAGAGCATAGCCAAACGACGATCATATGACACAAGGATTTCCTACAGCGGGTTCCTTTGAAAATCTCCCGAGGAGCGCCTCCTGGCTGCCATCGCTAGCTCGCTATTTGAGTTTTAATCCTTTTCCCAAGCCGGACAAGACTTTGAATTTTGGTGAGTTGCCGTCTTTTCAGCGTATAGCTGGGTGTACGTTTCGACAGCAAGCTGCGAACGATGATCCATTATGACTAGCGCGAATGGGTGTCATGATGTGTGAGATAAGCTCGCTGGTCAGACCAGTTGCTGAAATTTTTCTAGCTAACAGGGCAGCGGGGGCTTTTTCTAGCCCTTTTTTCTTCTTGTTGGTAGTCAGTAGACTGTTTCTTTCTACAGCTAGCATGGTTTTGGGGGCTTTCACGAGCTGCTGCAGAGCCGCTGTTTCATGGGGCAGCCGTAAAACAGATTCACCTCCCACTAGTATACCGAGTTTCGATTTTGCTAAATTCGTACCTAAGGCTCAATATATGGACCTTGTGACAACACTTTCACTTTTTATATTCGCACCTACTTCTCTAGATGATACAGGAAGGCCACTATGGTAGCAAAGTCAAAAATATCGATAAGTGATTTATTATTTGAGGAACTCAAGGTCACGGGAACTGGCTAAAATCTACCTTTAACTGACGTGAGCACTAAAGACAAGTTACAACGTACTAATATTAAATTTAAAATGAAAGAAAAACATTCTGCTAACAATTTTCAGTGCTTGTTGCAATTCGTATTTTGACCCTGATTCTCCAGCGCACTAAGTCATCATGCTGGTGCTATCTGCAACGTCAGTAAGATACATTTTACAGCGTAAGAGGAAAACAAGATCTAGGTGCGAAAATACTTTTCTTCAAATACCGCAAAAAGAATAATCTCCTGTTTAACGTTCCTTTACCGTAATGTGTATATTACAGGTATACACTCATTACATATCATTCATACCACAGTAAAACAGATAAACTTTGCTGGATACGTAGAGACCATTAAGTAAGAGAGGCACTGGTAGAAGTACACTGGTATGAGCACCAGTTCATAGCGTAGTGCAGAATTCGTAGCAAGCAATAAAATTTTCGCGAACGCGGAACTATAGGAGAAAACTGCATTTTACACATTAAAACTTACTCGTTAGAAAAAAGTGCGGATCACTAATTATCGAAAAAATATACCGAGCCAATTCCAAGCTGTCTTCTCACCCTAACTGGGTTTGCTCCAAGACGGTGCAAGACTTGCAAAGCCCTCTGCTCCTTCCTTAAGTTGCTCTTCACTTTAATGTATTGTTTCAATACTGTCGTAGTGTTCCTTTTGATGGGCCAGATGTTAACATGTAAATAATGAACTCTGCCTTCCCCTTGAGGCGCATAAATGTCTACATCTCATTTAAAACTAATTGTGCGAATAAAATTCAAAAGAAAATTACACAAGGTTTGATAAAAGTGCAATTGGCGTATTTTCGATTTTAAATTTGGGTCATGATTAAACACGGAGTTTTTAGAAGAAGATTTTGCTGGCACCGAATCGTCTCAGCTGAAACTCTTTTCAAAAGTTTCATAAACAATAATTTGCTAGATTAAATTCTAAGTTAGACAAAAGTGTGGCTTTCATACATATTTAACGTCATATTTAATGCAGAATTAGATAGTTTGCGTTAAGTAATAGAATACTTACCTAGCGAATTTTAGTCAGGTAATTCAGCCGGCCACATGAATGAAAACATTTTTAATTCAAAAAGTGAACACGTAGATTTCATTTTCACGTCCGATTCTTGTCTAAATGAGTCAAAATATAAGACGAATGTGCAGATTATTTTCATTTATTGAAACTAAAAGGCTCAGGCTGAAATACAAGCTTTTCATAGAAGATAGACTTTCAAGACTCATGTCTAGCGGTTCAACCAACCCAGTGGCATGCGGCCGTTGAGGCACGCTACATATATCGGAGCTGCTCAGGCTACTGATAGTAACCACGACATTCAAGAGCAGTCACCAAATCAGCTCCCTGGCCCTAGGGAAAATGCCTGGAAGCATCCAGTGTAGCCACAGACGGTCCATTTAATTGCAGTGACTGGTACAATCGCGTTCTCGGCGTGACAGCGGGCCAAGAATAACACTGGCTTGCGATTGTCATTAAAGAAATCAAGCATCCCTGAGCTTCACAATGCCAGTTTGTTTTTTTGAATAACCATTGGTTATTTTATAGCCCATATTGATTAATCGGTCCATAGAGGTCGACTGTGCAACCAGACCAGATCCTTTTTGAATTTATAAAGGCACTGTTTTACCATTTACTGGTCAAGCGAAACCGGCCGATTTTTGAGAAAGAAAGTAGTGAATCGTTTACTCTAACTGTACAAACTATATTGTTTTATTGATTCATATCATTGTCGATCGCCCTCGTGCTAGCCCGTAGTAACTTCACTATTAAGTAATAGCAAACCCAACAACCATCTCAAGTACACGGTACTTTTCGCCACTGAGGCTTGTCGAGGTACCTTACTACGAGCGAAACAGAACGTTATCTGCATTGCTCATATATCAAGAGTACTGTTTAAATTACTTTTTCAAGACGGCCAAAATCCATTTCAATATCTCGTCATGCTTTTTATTTTCGCTTCGATGCAAATGCGAGATTTGATAAGCGCGCCAAACTTCGTCCAGAGCTACTAATAAGCCTAGTTTGGAAAAAGAACTTATCCTGAAGTTATCCTATGTGTTAATCAGTAGGCACTTTTAAGTGCAAAGTTTCTCGCTAAAATATATGCATGCTCTTGAACACTTAATGTAAGATTTTACATGGTCTTAAATTTAACAGTTCACTTACGGGTCATTCACCTAACTGAGAAGATTGCAGTTGCGTATTTCCTGTTTAAATATTCACTACTTTCACTGTTTTTAATTGCAGCATGAGGAATATGTATTGAGCGTACACAGTAGACGGTTCTATACGAATAAACAAACAGCAGGCTACATTTCCGTGCTCTCGATAAGCTTTCTATTTAGCTTTAAAAAAAATTAACAATTTAAGACATTACCACAGGATCACAAATAGTATCTGTATTTTCGTTGCTTCATTAACTTCAATGTAGTTAAGAGTGTCGAAGCTTAAGTTTACGCAAAAAAAATTACCTATTTCATATTTTCTTCAGAACATTCAACGGGATAATGATGAAATAGCACTTTCATGAAATAGTTCGACATTTGAAATATTTTGGCATTACTATATGTTACTTCACGGTAATTCACTTAGATTGTTGTTTCAACCATCGGATTGTGGCTGGTGACCATTACCCAGAGTAAGGGTATACCCTAGCTTCAGATGAACGAAGTTCCCATTTTAGAGCTAGCTGTCATACAGTTTAAGAACACGAGAAAAATTTCATAAATACCACTGTACATTTTTTAATGGTGACATGGCTCGGCTTTCTCGATTAGAGGATTAGATAAACGGTGAATAAATGATAAGTAGATGCATGGGACAATGTGCTGATTCCCGCCATGACGTACTAGACTGTGCGAAGCTTAAAAGAGTGGATGCGGAAGGGAATGGGTTACCAGGAAAAGAATGACGGGCTAATTCATTGGAAGCCAGAATCAAATGGAGGCGTGTAAGATACAGCGAGAGATAACACCATTGTGATGATAGCATGGTATATGGGTGTCTGCGGTGATGGTGCTGATTGCCGTCGAGAAGCAACAGGAGCCGTGGCTTTTATTGTTGACGTGTGGAATGGCAGCAGGGTGTCGTTGGTGGCTGTGCTTGTGGTGATGGGGGTACGATGAGAGGTTGAGGTAACAGGAGAAGTGCCAAGGGTTATGGGTTTTGGGGGAAGCAGATAGCACCCATGGGTGCCATGCAAATGGCACAGTCTCGACGGCAGTGCAGGGAAAACGACGAGTTGCGTTGCAAAACTACTGGTAAATCGGTAGAAGCTGCCTCCCAGTTCGCCTGCCTTCTTTCCCTTCCTTTGGAGCCTACAACTTCCCCTTGTCCCTCCTTCTCGGCACCGCCCAGCTTGGGAAAACAGCAGCGGTCGTATAGACGGCACAACCATCATCACCGCAACCACCGGTAGCAGCAGCAGCAGTAGCAGCAACAGCACGACTACGAGGACGACGACTATCGCGCAAGCTAAAGCGGTGGGAAGCAGCGAACAACTAATCGCAGGTGGGCACCGACCAGATAACGAGTGGTAGTGGTTTATTCGACGCAGATAAACTACATCGTTATCGGCGACGCTCGTTGCCAGCATTCACAAGGTGGGTAGGCACATATATTATTTACATTAGTAGCGACTTTACCCATAAGGACTACTAAGTGAAGGCATAATAATAATACTGCAAAAATGTAATAAAGAAGTCATTGCAACCATTTAGGTGTGTTCTTTAAGTTGAAATAATAGCACGACTACTACCAGCTGATGTTAAGCACCTAGGCATTTTGCACCGAATTTAGGTCTGCTACTTATGGCTAACGCGCCAGTGACTGTTTAACAAGGATTTATTTGAAGCAAGCAAAAATCACTGGCTGTATATTGTCGGTCTCATATGTCTCAGTAATTAACTCAATAATTGGCCTCACAAAAAATAGGTTTAAACTAGAAGCTCATTTCTACTGTAGGAAATTTACACTTAAAAATTTTACCGAATGTGCCCGTGTAATAACCAGTTGTTGGGTTCTATTTTCGAAAAGCGAAACCTATAACTATCGTGTAATACACTGTATTGTATAATAGAAGAACGAATGCTATCTTGCAGTTGAGAGTGTATTTCGGTTATTTGTATCCTGAACCGAAAATCGCCTTAGGCATCTGTCGATTAGGTTATAAAACATTATCGACAGGAAATAAGATTGCACTTAAGTTTGAAACGTCCATGGAGTTAGTCTTGTTGCGTAACATCCTGCGCACGCTAGCCGTTCCGTATTGCTAGCACAAACACATACACAATGTCTGAAAGTCATGAAATCCGCTAATGGCCTACATGCTGCAGGACCATGCGTGGACATCGAAACGGATGACAATCCTCTCGTATGCGGTTTATTTTCTGCTAGCTGCTGCCTGTAAAAACTTCAATATTACAGAAGGTAAAACGCATATTAGCCATCTTGTCCCCTCAAATATAAAGAATAACCTAAATTTACTATCGTGAAAGATGATGTCAAACTATTTGTGTATAACATAAGAAATTACAGTACGACCTCTATAACAAGTAGCGATTCAATCTTTGCTAATACTGTTTGATTTGTTTGAAGAACGGGCGGTGCTAATGCAGTTAACGACTGGCGTTCGGGAGAGGATTAACACATTGTTTGCGGCACCTTACCCCACAAACAAACCGTAGCACCTCTTACGATACATTTAAAAGCACTTTAAGTTATTTATGCGATTAAAGTAAGTTGCAGTTTTTTAGCCAACAGTTGTATATAGGCTCGAGCTAGACGACTGTCAGAGTCAAAGTTCATGGATAAAGGCTCTTTGTTTAGAGGGAAGTGTTCGATGCAGAGATTTATTGAAATCTCGAGAGGAGTTTGGACTATAGGCTAAGAAGCACAAACAACTTATGACAGTGTCAAACTACTGAGAATGCCTGTTGAGGACGTTTTTTTAACCTTGGATTTACAGTATCTATTGTTTCCTCAACGTTCTCATACAATTGTAGTTTTGATCACTGTAAAAGTTCATCATTAAAAGATCATTTATTTTGCACTAATTTATCAAGTATGCTAATAAATATTAGAAAAAAAACATACGTAAGCATGCCTCCTAACCGCGAATATATCATGCCGTAACAATAAGCCTATCAAATTCCATGTATCCAAGGGCCAATACATATGGATTAAAGTGTATATCTCTTTTTGCGCTTTTAATAAAAAGTAAGTAAGTTCAACTATTTAAGCATTATAAAAACGCTGTAGGATAAGTTTTCTTAACGTTCAAGCGTCTCATATTGTTAGTTTTTTAACCTCTCTACTGTTCATCGATCGGAATTTACTTTATAGTCCAGCAATTTATCTCCTATCAACGAGGTGTTTGCACGGCTGTGCTGGTGTGAGCACGTTTTCCCAAGTCAATATATGGTCCACCGGTCTTTCGGAGATAATGTAACAGTATTATCGTCAGTTGATACTTCAGCGGACCAGGTCAAAAATTACGTGTTGCTGATGACTGCGTTCTCCTATATGAGTAACTACTGAAGTCACTAAAAGTGTATGTTGCAAATTTCCAATTGAAGAAAATAGTTCACTTACAGAACTGAAAGGTATATACAGTGAGTCGTTTTGCAAGTACTTGCTTAGGCGAGAATTTAAGCATAGAAAATGTGACAAAAAAGTATTCATTATATTATATTTAACAGTAAAATATTACAAAGTGAGCTGGGGTCATGCATTCAATTGCGTTCCACGTGACTCTGCATTCCGTGCTTTGACCCGCTTCGACATAAAACGGCATCGGCATAAGTACTCAGTAATATTAAGTATTTCAAGGTGAGCGCCTGACGTACTGCAGAACAGCTCTACCGAACTACTCCGTCAAGCTGAATAGGGACAGTCCTTCTGTCAGATGAGAATAGTGCCGCACATTTAAATCTGAGCAATTGCAATAAATTAACCCTTAAAACTTGTTTTTAGGATAGGCTTTAGAGTTACGTTAGAGAGAGGTTATATTTGTAGGTCAACAAAACTTTTTTTGTTAACTGTTAGGCTTATGACTGAGTATTAAACGAAGATTTGTTTTGAAGTGGGATCTTGGGTATCCGGTGATAATGAGAAATATTAATATAGTATGACTACACAAGGTGAATATTACATTTTCTGCTTTTTACTATATACCACAACTATAATTTAGATAACAACAGTAGTTAAGAAATGTGTCCAATAGCGAATAGCGTTGCAGTTGAGTGGCAAGAAATCCTTGTTAATGTAGGCTGAAAAGCTATGTGTGTAAGTATATGAGGTGCAAACTAAATTGCGTGGGATAACTTAACAGGATAGAATAAATTTAACATAGGGCATTACAGATCGATGGCAAGCGAGCATGTTGTGTCCCGTTATAAGGTGGACACAGTCCGTCATGCGGTCTTTTCAAGACTCTGACACACATTTGCTTCCGATTGACCGTCTGGGACTGGTCTGGCATTTCTAAGATGCATTCAGCTATCTAGATACCTTCTATAAACTATTTTAGTATATTATACCCCAAAGCTGATACCCGCGTAGAGCGCGGGCTTTATCAAGGATGATAATTAGGCGGCTGTGAGAAAAGCGATGGACCCACTGAATTGCCTTACCCGTTACTTGTTTCGCTAGCCTATTTATTTATTTAGCAAATGGAGAAGCGCATTAAAAAGCAGACGTGAAGATGTTTTTAAAATTCATCTATCGCCATGTAGTAATCTACTCAAATTATTATTAGTAGTTATTAATATGGTAACGCTTAAGACGATCGGCGGCAGATACCAACAAACGCAGTAAAACTGTCTGAACTCAATCCCGTAGGCTGTTTCCACTCGCTCAAGAGTACCTCTGTAACTTAATCGTGGTCACCCGTCTAGCGTAGCGGTTATATGATTATACCTCACCTTCCAACCGTCAGTTATTCCTCTTTCTTTGCAAGCGTTTTTTCGAAATTTTTACTTCAAGCTTTGTACGGACAGCAGGAAGCATTTCCAATATCCGTAAGAGCTATTGATATTCGTATGCTTTCCCATAAACCTTATCGTTTAGCGGCCTTACATTTTTTCCACTGCGCATCTTTCAATTGTCCTACTTGTTCAGTGAATCGGTACATTTTTTTGTTCGATGTTGGTCAGCGAGCTGGGAAGGCCGGCACGACGCCTTTTTTTTCAGGCGACATTTGATAGAGGGCTACCTTCTACTAACTGGAACACTGTTCTTTTCCCTATGAGTTTCCTGGAAAGATATTTGTGTGTATAGTGTTAATTTCATTTGATCGCTCTTTGGTGCGGCGCCTCTGACTTAGTAGAACGGCGCGATTTATCTTCGGTGAGAATTTGAAACTCTACTAGTAACCTGTACTAATCTTGTAGGATATAGGCAGCTTTGGAGCTTGCCACTTACGGGCCAGTATCTCGTACAGTGAACCTCGACTTGAGTTCTAAGCATCACATATTTGTTTAAAAACATTTGTTTTTCCTAAATATAACAGGAATTAAAGTTTATGTGCATGATGCACGAAAAAATTAATTCATTGTTGATTCGTAAGCTTATTAACGTCAGATCGCAGTAACATGTATGAATGTATCCAAATGATTTTACGCGCCTTACAGAATACAGCAAAGCAAGACAGGACCTTAAGTTAAAGTGCTTGAACATACTGTAGGTCCGAGTTATGTAATAGACGGCTGCTCTTTAGCTTCTTACCGTTACAGTGTACTGTAAGCGCTGCATGAAAGTGGGGTGCAGTACTTGCTATCTGCATTGACTAAAATATCGCACGAACACCAAATAACGAGTTCTCTGAGGAAAAGCTTGAAGAGTGAATGCAGCTTATGCAAATCACCTCCAATCCCGATAAAGTATGCAAAGATATTCTCGGTTGTACTTCTGTGTGAAAACTGAAATACTTCTCTACCAATACACTTTCAGCGAACTATTTTTTTTACTTTTCTACTTTATATTTGGACAATGCAACAACCTGAATCACTTTTGAACTCCTAATATGTGGTTAAGTTTCATGGCAAAATAGCTATGAAGGACGGTTTCGCTTGGACGAATCATAATTTTCTGTACACTAGGTTGATATCCTTTAGCGATACTCCTAAATTAGAGCATCAACTTGCACATTAGGCAGTGCCCATTTAAGAATTGTCATCTGCAGTCTGTCCTGCTCGCCCATCCTCGTAAAATGCTGCACACCACTGAAGAGCACAAACGAATTCAAATAGCTTTATGCGATCTTTCGAGATACGCTCATGCAAAACAAATTGTTGAAAAATTAATTATTGCTCTCCGTCGGAAAACCGTCTATCGTTTGCCATTGTCATCGAACTAGTATAGTCTATAGCCTATGTCTTTCTCGATTTTCTAACGTTTTCCCGTCCCTTCAAGATTTCTCCTGATGCGTTCGTCTCCTTCTCCTCCTCTTTCGTGTTTTTTTTTTTCTTGTCCTTCTCTGCTGTATTCACCTCATGGCGGCGTCAGTGGGTCATTTTCTCGCCTGGCGCAAACTAGGCCGCTGGTGCGGCCGCACACCTCTTCTGACGCCTGATTCCCCAGGGAAATTACTGTTGCGTGTCATTGTTATTTCCCATTTTCGTGTCCACATTCGACCAAACGGCCGCCTCGCGTCTACCGGTGAACTAGGTAGAAAAGTTCGTCGAACAAACAACGAAAGAAGAGAAACACTGAAACAAGCAGGGAACAACATTTCGCGTTTCAGCTTCGCTGGACCTTGCCGACGGCGAATGTATGCAAAAGCCCGATAACTACGCCTAGCTAGATATATATACATATATAGTTATTATAAAACTTTGTTGTAAGAGGACATATCGAATGTTTTATAGCTATTTGAAAATTATAGCATTGCTGTAAGTTCCTGTACAAAATTGCGTTTTCGTTATATTGAAACTCCACGTCACCTACTGCTTGTTGCCCCTTATCAGTAGCCTTAGTGGCTTAATATTTGTAAAATATTAAGTTCATAGCCTGTTACATAGTGTTTTATAATGCGAATAGTCAAGAAGCATCTTACATTTTTAATGTACGCAAGACAGCGAAAACTAAATTTCTTCTAAACCCTCAGTTCGATAGAGGGTGAGCTACCCTCTGTCATCGTACCTTTGCATCCCCCTATAAATTCGATTTTATGTTTAACTTTCAGTTCAGTTTTCTATATATGTAGGCTTTAAATGTGAGAAGCTGGCATAAGGCTACATAAAGCGCGTGTCACGTTTCGTCACTAAAAAAAAAATTAGAAAAAAAAGTAGTGTTAAGGTAGTCAATTTTTATATGCTCTATTACATTAACTGTGTTTCATTGTTAGCGATAGGCGGTATAATATAATATTTATTAGTGGTCGCAGATGCCAATGATGATGATGAATGAGAAAGATAATTGAATTCTAAATATTTTAGAGTGCGATGGGTTGAAAAATATGTCATGTTGTTTAACAGAAGACTCGGTTCATTCTACTTACGTTCGAAGGCATCTACACCACAGACTTACCTTCAATTACATAAGAAAAGCTTTTATATGATGCACGTCGCTTAATGGTAAGCTACGACGCTGGTGAGCGATTATTGCCCACCTGCTAAGCATTCAAGGAGTCGGCTTTTGAGCTTGCCGTCGAGAAAATAGACGATCAATTTTTTTAATGACAGCGAACAGCGATTTATTTGGAGTTTATTAATGGCGAAAACATATCAAAAGCAACTGAATCGCAATACCAGCTATATATGAAAATTTCTTTATCAAGCACTAAAAAACTACAGTGCTATAAATCAAATATAATGAGAATAATCCAGTAGTATTAATATATTATACAGTATAGAGCACTAGTGAATAATTTTTTACGTTAACCGTCTATGATTAAAATGATCATCCCTTGCAAACTATCTAACTCTATTATATTCCACAGAGCAATCTTCTGCAATAACAATGTCCTGTCTTAAATGACTGGACTGGAGATCAGGGCTTCTGGTCTCTTTTTAACTAGTAAACTCGCAACACAATGGGCTGTGTTTAAAAACGGCTCCTAGTGACAGCTGTGAAATAGACGGTGACGACCTACAAAATTCGAAAACGAAGAGTATACGACCAAACCTCAATGTGTCCTTAGTAATTCTTACGAGTGGTTGTGTACTCTGAACCTAAATCC